GTTTTATGTGTTGTCTTTCCTTATTTGAATGCAAGCCCCTTGAAGGCTGTCTTTCCTTTTGCTTGAATTTGTATTCCAAGCCCTTAGCACATTGCCTATCATACAGTAAGCACTTAATGAATACTTTGTTTATCTATCTAGGTAACTATTTGACATAGTGAATTGAGCTCCATGCTTGGAGTCAGAAAAACCTAAATTCAAACCTGGCTTGAGACACTTATTAGCTGTGTGACCCTGGGTAAATCACTTAAACTCTTTGTCTCAGTTTCCTCACCTATCTCACAAAGGTGCCCTGAGGACAAAAGTGATAATATTTGTAAAACACTTAGTCCAGTGCCTGGCATATAGTAGGTACTTAATACTTTCTTTATTCCCCCCTGCCTCCCTCCATCCCTTCTTCCCTTGCTCCTTCCCTATTTCCTTCTCTTTTTCCTTCCTTCCTTCCATCCTTCCTTTCTTCCTTCCTTCTTTTCTTCCTTAACCTCTTTCTTGGTGTTCAGAAGTCTATGTCATCTCCTTCAATCTCTTTCTTCCCCTGTGTGGGAAAGAGGCTGAAAGAGTCATGTTGCACTATGTAGTGGAAAAACAGTGGATTTGAAGTCATAGGGCCTTGGTTTGCTTGCTGGCTCTTTTACCTATGATCTATGTGATGGTGGTCAAGTCTTTCCCCTTCCCTGAGTCTCAGCATCACAGATTTGAAGGTGGAAGGACCTTTGAGGTCACTGAGTCCAAAGCCCTCATTTTACAGATGAAGAAAGTGAAGGTGAGTGAGATTAAGTGATTTCCCCAAAGTCAGTCACTTGGCTAGAAAGGATAGGCTGGTGTGTGGTTAGTAAATCGCAGAACTGGGATTTGAACACAGGCCCTCTGACTTCAGATCCAGCCTTCTTCCTACCACCTCATGCTGCTTCACTCCCCTTACCTATAAAATGAGAGAGCTAGAAAGAGGATCTTCAAGGTCCCATCATACCTTAGTATGATGTTAAATATAGTGTTTTTCAACATGATAGGCACTGAATAAATGTTTTGTTGAATTGAATTAAATGTCCCTTCCAGCTCTAATTACTATAGAGACAGAAAGTCCTCACCCAACACTTTTCAATGTATCAGAAACATCTTGAGTCCTGGGTAGAAAAATGATTCCACTCTGGCCAAAGCAGTAGGCCAAAGAGAGTTCTTGTCTCCCAAGAGATTTTCCATTTTGATCCTTAAAACAGAAAGCCCCCAAACAAGATAAAAGTGGGCTTTCAGCACTTCTCTAGCAATAGTCCCATGCAGTTGGAAGTACAAAGATTATTCTTCCCATTTTGCAGATGAAGAAACAAACCTCAGAGAGGTTGACTTGTTTGGTCACAGCCACACAGTTAGTAAGTGGCAGAGTTTAGATTAGAATCCTGGTGTGGACTCTTAAAAAATTCCTAATCTGTGCATAAAATGTCAAGCAACATGCAGCCCTGGTATTATCCCAAAGGAACTCCCCAAACAACCATCCAGATGCATATCTGACCATGTGATCCCCCTACTCAAAAACCTTCAAAGCCTCCCAAATTGCATCTAAGATGAAACACAAATCCCTTAACCTGTCATTTAAGGCCTCTACAACTTGACTCCAACTTGCCTTCTCAGACTTCTTTCAGATTAATCCCTTACACACTTTATATTCTAGCCATGTTGACTTACTTGTTCCTGAATTTGATATTCTCTCTCCCACTTCCTCTATGAATTCAAGAAGGCTATGCCCCCATGCCTAGAAAGAACTCCCTTCTCTGCCTCTCAGTCCTTGTCTTCCTTCAAGGTTCAGTTCAAATGCAACCTTCCCTGTGAAGCCTTCCCTCATCCTCTCTGCTGCAAATGTCCTCTCTCTCACTGCAAATTTCTTATACATTTTATGGGGTCTCTCCTTTGTTCCATCATAAAGCTGGCATTATACTTCTTTGTATAATTATTCTTAACCCTCCACATAGAATGTAAGCTCCTTGAGGGTAGGAAGTGGGGCTTTAATTTTATTTTTTAATCTCGGCATGCCAGTGGTTAGCACAGTTTCTTGCACAAACTCGCTGCTTAATAAATGTTTACTGTTGAATGTAGTTTGCTTGCATTTCATCTACAGTGGTGGAGAAATGTGGCTGTACAGCAAATATATTGTCATATTAATAACACATTAATCATAACATATTAATGTTGTTACATGTTTTTGTAGTTTTGCCTTTCTTTGTACTCCCAAAGTATAGTATGATGCCTGGGAGATACGTACTTGGTCAATGCCTGTTAATTGATTGATGACTGTCTCTGATTGGGGGTAACTACTTGAGATTTTATTCTCTTGTCATTTCTAATACCACATTCCACCATCTGTTTCCCTCATGTTCATTCACAGGGTCTTTAGATGATACAAATGGGATTTGTGTAAAAGCCAGTAACCACCTCCAGAGTCCCCAGCACATGGGGCAGAGATCACTCCCTGCTCTTCTCCAGGGTCATCTGTATAGTTGTCCTTTAACTATTTTGTGGAGAAAACACCACTTCATCCCAAGCTCTTGAAGTTTGTGCAGGGGAATCACAGGCTTAGGAAGGTTTCTTCTAAACTGGAAAAGCTTAGAAGACAACTTGATGATGGACCACGTGTCTGTTGACTGAGCACCCACTAAGGAGGGAGAGGCTCATCCGCAGACAGTGGGTTACCAGAGTGTTACTATTTTTTTTTGTTCTGTTATCTCATGAAACTTTATATTGTTCTATTTTCTGGGCATTCAGCATAGAAAAGTGGGAAACTCTCCAACTGAAATTGGGAAAAAAATGTTCTCTTGAGGACACAACAGTGATGCCCTACTTCTTACCTGCAAACTCATAAGGTCATAGGATTTTTTAAATTAAAAGTTTTTTTTCAGTTAGTAAGTAATTATTTTCTCATCCTTCAACTTTTTCTCCTTACTGGGAAAAAAAAAGAAATAAAAACAGAACTCGTAACAAATATATATAGTCAAGCAAAACAAATCTCCACACTAGCCATGCTGAAAAACGTGAAAGTCATAGGATTTACAGCTGGAAAGCACTTTAGAGGCCATCTAGTCCCATACCCTGATTTTTGTAGATCAGGAAACTGAAGCCCAGAGAGGTTAGGTGAATTGTCTAAGGTCACACAGGTAGTAAGTGGCAGAGCCAGGATGTGAACACAAATTGTCCAACTCCAAATCCATCGACCATACATTACTACTGTACCATACTGCCTTACTTGTTTTCTCAGCACTATTGAGGAATACTGAGCAGCTCCTGCAATTGCTACAGCACAACCCTTACTCCATTCCTATGTCTGAGGGTTCTCCTGTTGGCTTCCAGATTCTTCAGCCTGGGTTACACCAAGGTAGGATGCATGGCCTGCCCCTGATCCCTTTTCTGGCTACCGGGGCTACCAGTTCCCCAACTTTACTGCTTATGCCACCTAATATTGTAGTTATTTGTATCCATGATTTTCCTCCTTCAGATAATTTTAAGTCCTTGAAGCTCTGGCAGGTCCAGTCAAGCGTGGCCCAGGGATGGCCGATATATTTGTCTTTCAAGGACCAGTCTAGGTAAGTGTGGGTAGAAGGCCAGCCAACAGGGGATGAACTCCTGTGACCACAGCAAGCCATGGAATTATCTAGGGCAGGGACTGCTAAACTAGGATCTATAAACTATTATTTGTTTGCTTTTTATTTTTAACATCTTGATAGCTGTATTTCAATATAATTTATTTCTTTGATAATCCTATGTATTTTATGTATTTAAATACATTATTCTGAGAAGGGATCTACAGGCTTTACCATATTGCCAAAAGGGTCTATGATACAAAAAAAAGTTAAGAATCTTGATCTACAGAGACATGGAGGAGGTGATGATTTGCCCTGGTAGCTTTGCTGGCAGTAGGAGTGCCTATGCCAATTAAATCATAAATACACTGAAGTCTCTAGACAATGGGGTCCTAAGGCAACACACCTCTACAACCACCACCTAGCTCAGGAGTGAGTTGGGTCTACTTCTCTGAGTCATGGTTGCATGATAGTAACACTTTACCTGTAACTCTGGAGAGCTGTCAGAGCAAGTATTACCATTCCCATTTTTTAGGAGAGGAAACTGAGGCCTAGAGAGATGAAATGATTTGCCCACAGTCACACAAAACCTGATCTCCTCACCTCCCTCCTGTGCCAGATCTTACTCTTTGCACTACTCTGAGCTGGATGACAAAGAACTAATGCTTGAACTGGTATTATTACTGAGGATCAGCTCAGACCTGGTCTCAGATTTCCAGCTTGCTCTCAAAAAGGAGAGCACCCTGGCCCAAACTACCATTAACACAGAACCGTTGCAAAAACAGCTGGAGAAAAATGTAGCAAAATCCAAACACATTACATAAGCCAAAGGGTAACCCCCCCCCAACCCCAACTCCTGCCCTCTACTGAACTGAGCTTATTATGAGCTAGTTGGTGAGAGCTTTGCGAGTCATTTGTCCCTTTTGCTATCCAGGAGAGAGTGTTGCTAAAGCTGCTGCCAATGATGGGGGCTGGGCTGGAGAGGGAGGGGGGCGGGAGGCCGGGTGCGGTGTAATGCTGTCTGCCAAGAAGCTGGGGGAAGGCAGGAAAGGGAGAGGGGGGAGCAGCTGGGAGCTTTAGGGGAAGGGAGGGGAGAAGGGGGAAAGGAGGGAGAGGGAGGGGAGCAAGGTGGGGGCTAGCAGGAGATGAGGGGTGGGGGATGTGGTGGCTGGGACAGTGCTTTCAGTCCCAGCCCGGCCAGGAGGCGGTCTCCCGAAGGCCAGAGGCGTTGGGAAAGCTTGTAGGGAGCTGTGACATCACCCAGTTAAACTTCAGCCCAAGCCGGCAGGCTCCAGGTCTGTGGCTAAGGGGACGCCCTCAGCCCCACTCTCTGGCTCCTCTTTCTTGCATGGGTGGGTGGAGAAATGTGACTTGAACCAACCAGGAGCAGCCTGCTTGCCGCATGCTTTACCAAACGTCTTTTTTTTTTTTTCCTCTCCTCCGGCATGTAAATCCTCCACAAAGGAGCTGAAGTTCAAATGAGGCTGCTTTAGCCTTGCCCCAAGGATGGATTCAAAGCCTTAGTCCAGAAGCGCAGAGTTTGGCCCCAGGGCAGCTCCACCACCACCCCCAGGCCCAGGGCATGGGGCCGAAGTCTTCCAGTCCAGTGCAACACAGGACACTTCTGGGATAAACGACAGCCACCTGAGCAAGGAGACTCCAGGTTTTGGTTTTTAAAAATCCTTTCTCGGACCCTCCCCACCCTGCCTCTAGCTCCAGGATCCCTGGGTGGTTGCAAAGCACTCTCTCCTGGGGCACCAGTTTGATCCAGCATTCCAGGGAGGTCCCAGGGACCATGAGGGAAGCCCTCCCATAACGAAACCCTTGAAGAAAAAGCATGTGAAAAGTTTGAAGTGGCATCAGGCAGCCAAACAGGAGGAAAGTAGGTAAGTAGCAGCAATGGTGGCCAGAGGGGTTTGGGGCTCCTAGGATGCTGACTGACTGAGGCAGGGTGGGGGGCCCTGGGGATGATTTTGCTCCACTCCCCATTTGGGACAACAGCTAGGCAAGAATGACTTGTCAACATTCTGGGGAGGAAAGGAGGGATGGAAGGAAACATGAAACTCTTACCAGGTACAAGGACAGGCAGTGTAGTGGAACCTCAGGTGCAAAGGATTTAGAATCAGAAGACCTGGGTTCAATCTCAAACTCTCCTACCCCCATTTCTGATATTGACTTAGTGTATTCAAGTCTCTTCTCTCTGAACCTCAGTTTCCTCATCTGTAAAGTGAGGGGGTTGGATCTGATGAAATCTAAGGTCCCTCCCAGCTCTAACATTCCATAGTTTAGTGAAGGCACTTTAGCAAATTGAGAAAGTGGAGCAACCCCCTAAAGGGGCAAACAGTTGTCCGGAAACAAAGTGGAGAAGGTAATGCATCCCCTATACAGTGTTATGGTGTAGATGTAAAAAGGAAATGCTCAGGGGGTGATGGGGATAATTTCTATAGCCTTTCTGAACCCAGAGCACATGAAAAAACAAAACAAAACAAAACATCATGCCCAGTATCAAGCATGGGGCCTTGCACACAGTAGGTGCTTAATAATTGCTCTTAGAACTTAAAATGTGAGTTGACACCTGTGGGTGATTTCTAGTGTTTCCCAATAAAGCTTCAACTCTGTTTTTTGTCTGCTAGAGAATATTCTGGTGCAAACTTCAACTCCAGGTACAGAGCTGGCTACTGTGGAGAAGCTGGGATATGTTTGGGGTGGGGGTTGGGGGAAGGGAAAGCAAGGATAAGGTGGGGGTGAGGCACAAGACAAGAGAAAGGCTGGAAGAAGGGTTCTGCTTATCCTCAGTATCAAAGTTACTGTTTTGAAAGCGAATCCCTAGACAAGCTGTGAATTCTTGCAAACAAAACCCACTTGGGAAAGCTAAGCAAACTCTTTCCACATTCTCTTCCAAGGTGATTGGCTTCAAAGAAGGGGCCACTAGTAAGGGCTTCCCTAGAATGGAGTATTCGGAGAAAACATGGAATTTTTGCCCACTGACTCATTGGTCAAACTCTGCTGACTAAATATCTCAAGAAAGCCTAGCCCAAAGATGCTATCTGGGAAATGTCCTTGTGTCCCCATCCAGAAGCTACTGTATATGAGCAGTAAATAGGGGAGGTCCTATCCTCTGCTCAACATGCCTGAAAATGAGACAACAGAATGCAGTGGAGCCAGAAAAGCTTTTGAAATCTCCCAGCGCCAGATACTGTTTCAAAACAGAACATGTCCAAAGAACTCTTCACTTTCTCCCGCCGTAAGAGGAGAGGGATAGATGTTCTCTAGAGATCCTTCAGACTCTCAATCTTCAGATCAATGATTGCTAAGGCCTCTTCACCTCGAACAGTCCATGTTTGTGGTCTGGTGAAAAGTGGTGTTGCAGTGGAATCTCAGTGGTCTTAGTGCCACAAAGGTCCCAGTTTAAGCCAGCTTTGTCACTTATTGGCTTTGATGTCTTGGGGAAGTCACTTCCCTTTTCTGGACCTCAGTTTTGTCATCTATAGAACAGGGGGGTTAGACTAAACGATGTCTCTAATATCCATTTCAGTTCTGATATGGCATAAGTCTATGATTCTATAAGGTCCCCTTCCAACTCTAAGGTTTTGTGATTCTGTCCTTCCCTCTGTTTCTCCCTATCTTTTCTCTCCATCTTCTTTCTGCCACCTACCATACATTAACCTATCCCCTCTGCAGGAAGGTGGGATTTGAATATTTCCCAAAGACTAAGATCAGCTTCCCCCCTCCCCAGCCAATTCAGCTATTCAGGGGGAAAAGGGACCCATTTTTATAAGGACTCCCAATATATTCAGTGTCTTTGTTTTGGGAAGCAGCCCAATCAATGGTCACCCCCACAGAATTCCGGTAACAAATCACAGCCAACACACTGATTCATAGCAGCAAGTACTAGGTACAATTCTAAGCTCTTTTCCATCCCAAACACATCTTCTCAGTGTGTGCAGCACTTCTACCCAGTGATTAGCCAACACAGCAGATAACAACCATGTGGCATCCACTTTCCAGTCCTCTCCAGAAGGTCCTCCCAAGAAGAGATCTTCATGCTTGAGGTTCATTTCAACAAATGTTAAACATTTAATCTACAGAAGGCATATAACATTCAGCTACTCAGTACCCTTTGCATTACAGGATGTTGAGTTGGAAGGGACTTCAAAACACAGAACTTTAGAGTTGAGGATCTTGGAAGACAGCATGTTAGAAGAGACAATATCAGAGTCTGACAGGACCTTAGAATGTTGGAGAGGCAATGGACCATAGAGATCCAGTTCAACCCTCTCATTTTGCAGGTGAAGAAACTGAGTCTCTAAGAGGGGAAGTGACTTACTTATCACACAGGGTATAAATGACTGAGATTGTATTTGAACCCAGGTCACCTAATTTGTTTTAGATCAAGTTTCAAAAAAAAAAGGGCAGAAACATTTCCTAGGGGATCAGTTGTTGAACCTATTCAGAAGAATCCACTAAGTTCATCCAAGGAAAAATCCCCAGCATACTACAGCAATAGACTTCTCTGGGCATGGGCAGCTGTCTTGCCTGTCCTTCTCACAATTAATGGTTTTCAAGAAAGAAGCTGCTTTGGCAGTAGCTAATTTAAAAAATTAGAAACTGCAAGAGGGATAGGGGGAGAGCCAGAGACTGTGTCATCTGGGGTTATTCTGGGAAGGGCAGTTTCAGAAAGTCTCATTACCACATTACTGTGGCACTGTGGAAAGAGCCCTGGATTTTTAGTCAGTGGACATGGGCTTGAATCCCGGCTCAGCTGTTTATTAGTTGCACGATCTAGGGCAAACACCTTTCTAAGGCTAACCCTCAGTTTCCTTATTGGTAGAATGGGAATAATAACTCATGTGCTACCTATCTCACAGAGGGTATGGTAGGAAAGTGCTCCATAAAGACCTATAGAAACATGAGTTGTTAATATTAGTTTTAACAAGAGAAAAAAGGAGAAAGTGCAGAAGCAAGGGGCTAGCAGGGAAAAGCAGCTTGGTGTGGCAAGAAGAACACTAGATATTCAATCAAGGGACTTGGCTTCAACTCTCCAGGGTGCTACTTACTGGCTGAGAGATTCATTTTATCTTCCTAGGCCAGAGCTCCCCCTCTATTAAAGGAGGGTTTAGACTAGGTGATCGCTAATGCCCCCCCCCAGCTCTAAATCTTATGACCCTAACTTGCTGATATTGAATGAGCCCAACAAAGTCAAGGATCATAGGATTAGAAGCTGAAAGCAATTTTAGGAACCATCTAGGCCAAGACTTTCCTTTTACATATGAGGAAACTGAGGCATAGAGAGGGGTAGAACTCGCCTAAGGCCACATATGAACCATTAAGCTGCAGGGAGGTCTATAATCATACTTGTGGAACAACCTGATAGAATGTGTGTGTATGTCTACGTCTATGTCTATGTCTATGTATATGTGTACATAGAGAACTCCTGGTATAGAAACTCCCTTTACTGATACAGATCACCAACTCATCTCTAATTTCTAGATTTAGAGCTGTCTGTGGGTGATGAAAGGTTAAGTAATTTGCCTATAGTCACAAAGGTATTATGTGTCAGAGGCAAGACCTAAAACTTGAGTTTTTTTAATTCCAAGGCTCTATCCACCATACCACTCTGCCTCTCAAAAGAGAATAATTATAGGACTTAAAGGGAATTTTTTGCTTAATTATTTTAATTAAAAGATACAAAGCACTTAATTTTAAAAGTCTACTTTAACATTTTGGAGCCCCACAAACACAGAGCAGTGTCTTTGTTTCTCCAATAGATATTTCTGCCTGGGGGCTCCTTCCTATTCTGTGCTGGGTGGACTGAATTCCCCCCAGAAGACTATGAATTCCATGAAAACAGCTACCCTAATCTTTGTATCTGGACCTTGCACAGAGCTCTTCATACACACAATAAATGCTTAACAAATAAATGCTTTACAAGAAAAATCAGTCAATCAATGAGAGCTGTCCAAAAGTATAATAAACTGCTTCACGGGGTGGTGAGCTCCGCATTGAGCAGAATCACTTGTCAGGAATGTTTCAGAATGTATACTTGGTCAGGTACAGGATGAACTAAATGACAATTTTTGAGTTCCTTTCCAACTCTGTGATTCTATGAATGAATGTTTAGTAGAACCACCTTGCACCTCTCCTTAAGCATGGAAACCTGGTTTTCTGAAAGGACATTATGGAGATCACACTATCATGGAAGAAAGAGAGCTTTTGTATATATACAGCAGGGAAGAATAAGATATCTTTTTCAGAAAAGACAATTCTGTCAGAGCAAAATTCATTCATTCATATTCATTCATTCATTAATTCCCTGTGCACTGAAGACTACATTTTGTAAGATTTGTAAACAAAGCTTCATAATTCATATCATGCTCTGCTTGAACAATAGAAAACTCCTCAAAGGCATAATTAGTGACAAAATCAGACCAAATGTAACAGAAAATCAGAGATCAGACACTACACCATAAATTTGATTCAGCTGAAAACTATGTCTATGCTTTCTTCATAGGATTTGGAGCTGGTAGAAACTTTAGAGATTATTTGGTCTAAAACCCTTATTGTAATGATGTGGCAAGTGAGGCTCATAGTGGGTAAAGGAATTGCTCTTATGAATGATGCTCAAATGATTCCAGTTACTGCATTATCTGCTTCAGTTTTGCTGCAGAAGGGCGCATTTTATTAGGAATACTCATTATTTCTGGCTGACCACCTTTGGGCCACAGACAAATGTTCTTCCCTAGTGAAATCAGACTTGAATTTCTGCCAAAGAGATTTATTCTTTTTGCATCTTGAAGACTTCATTCTTTCATACTTCAAAAGGTCTGTTATTTCCTTGGGGTGGGCACTCTCTCTACTAGTACAGATCAAAGCCCCTCCATGCCTC